GTGGGTGAAGGGAGATGTTGGACAGTGTAAGATATGACAAAATAATAAATTATCAAGAATTCATGAGGGAGGTGGGGTTGGGGAGGGAAGGGAAAAATGAGCTGATACCAAGGGCTCAAGTAGAAAGCAAATATTTTGAGAATGATGATGGCTACAAATGTACCTGACACAATGGATGGCTGTATGGATTATGATAAGAGTTGTATGAGCCCCCAATAAAATGACTTAAAAAAAAGAGAGACATTGTCTAAAGCTACTCTTTCCATAATTTTGATACTGTCCAAAATTTTAGAAAATAACATTTTCCCGTGTATTTTTGGTGTTCTTTCAGCTGCTGGACAAGGACACATAGAATGTTTGCAGTGGTTAATTGAAATGGGAGCTGACAGCAATATCACCGACAAAGCTGGGGAAAAACCTGGTGATGTGGCTAAGCGGTATAGCTCTTTATCTGCTTTGTTCTTCCTCTCTTGTTCTTAAGTTCTTGTTTGTTTGCTTGTACCCAGAACTCTCAGGATTTAATGGATCTATAGGACTCCGCTAAATACTGATGGGATGAAAATTTTCAAGCTGAATTGTGGTTTGCCCACATATCAGCTTCTCTCTCTAAAGCAGTGATTCTCAGTTGGAAAGTACTGTTGGCCTCGTTCTCTGTGAGGGGGCTAGGGAACAGTTAGTGTGTGAGAGGCTGTTACAGTGAATGGGAACCATAATCAACCTTTATGGGGTCAGGTCTAGGAATATTAAACATTCTGTGGTGCTCAGGTCTGTGCTGCACAATGAAGATTTGTCCACCCAGATATTTGCAGCATCCCTGGTGAGAAACATTTTATGACTCATGAAACGGAATCACCAACATGGATTAAAAGCAAAACAAACTGTATGGGTTTTTAATCTTATTTTGGTATTTACATTTGAATTACATAAACATAATGCTTATTATTCAACTCTATCAGCTCATTCAGGTCAGGGTCCCAAAGAATATTAATTCACTCACTTATTCCTTCATTTGTTCATGTATTCAAATTCCCATATAACTACCATGTTCCATATACTGTAGTAAGTCTTAGGGTTAAAATGGTGAAAAATCTCAGTCCCTGCCTTCAAGGAGCTTAAGATCGTGTGGAGAGGCAAACGTGCGAGCATAATTTTATGCTATACTATGGAGTGCATATAGAACTAGGGTAAAGGATGCCTAAGCCTTCCGGGGAGAATAATTACTATAGATGATGGTAAAGTTTGTAAAGAAACTATCAAATGAAACTTGGTAGGGCACTAAACTTCAGTGCAATTTTTGTTTGTAAGCTCTTGTTTTCTGAAAATTTGTCTGAGAGATTTCTTTGAAACCTTGAGGTGTAGTGTTACTAGATCTAGCACCTGGAATGCTTATCAACTCAGGAATACTTTGTTTTTTATCTTTCTACACTCCTCCTCAGTCTCTATAACAACACCGCACTCACACCAACCATTTTGATGCAGGAATTAGAAAGAAGAAATTATAACTAAGTACAGGTACATTCATAGTACTAAATCATCCATGTGACACTCGTGTAAAGAGGACAAATTGATAGATTAAAATTGAGAGTCCAGAAATAAATCCATAATGGTATCCTGGAGGAAGGGAAATCTTTTGAATAAATAGTTATAGAACAGTTGGATAGCCGTATACTCCCCTTATTATTTCCACAAGAGGACTTTACTCCTGGAGTTGGTAGACTGGTGGGATTGAACCACTGATCTTTTGATTCACAGTTGTGTTAACCACTGTGTTGCTGGTGCATAGTGTACATAATATAATTCCCTAAATCAAGTGGAAACTATAAATTCTATTAGAAGACAATGTAAATTGCATTAATTATTGATTTTTTTCTACAGGTTTGCCCACTTGGCAGCGGTAAAGCTACTAGAGGGGTTACAGCACTATGACATCGATCATGAAAGTGAATTTGATGAAAACAATATGAATTTTTTTATGAGACATGGTGTTGAGGGAAGCACTGATGCCAAGGATGATTTATGTCAGAGTGAGTCAGATAAAGCAGACGCCCGAAGTAAGTGTGCCTCTTCTATTGTGATATTTTTTTCCTTAAAAGATGCCATGGCTGGTTGTTAGCAACAATGTAGAAATTATTCTAAAGAAAATTGTACCTATAAAGGTTGGAAAGAGAACATACTTACAAATATAAGACTAGTTGAAGTTCTTGATGTAATGTAACTTCGTCAAAGTTACTGAATTAGAATGATTTAAGAATAGATGCAGATTTCCTGGGCCTGTAGGTTTGCACTAGATGATGGAAATGTTGAGAAATAATCAGATTTAGGATGTATTTAGTAGGTAGAGGTGATAATATTTGCTGACAGATTTAAATGTGAATAAGAATAGTTAAGGGTAAGTCCTTGATTTTTGGCCTTGCCAAGTAAATGAATGTTAGGAGGGGGGAAAAAAATCCCACCTTAAAGGACTGTGCACTCCAGATGGAATAGTAAGAAAGTCTTTTCATAAGTGGAATGTGGACTTTGCCTTGAAGGGCAGCCAGAATTTTAAAAGGTAAGCAGGTAAGGAGGTCATTCCATTCATTCAATATATATGAGCAGGATTTTAAAAGTTTGTGGAAAAATTCCTTTATCTTTATATTCCATTTTTTCTACAAACTTTTCAAAGAATTCTCATGAGTTTAAACTGTTCAGTCTTAGGCTCAGGGCTATGGCAGTGTTGCTTTCTGGAATTTGGAAAACATTCTCAATCTACCCAATACGGTGCTGGAATTTACTGACATCGTGCTTCATCAGTTGTCACCATCTTATTATTTGACATGACTTTGTTGAGTATCTTGTATATGTAAGGTTTGTTTGCTCTTCTGGCAATCCATGGAATACTCAATATTTCTTGCCAAAACCATGATTCAAAGGCATCAATTTTTTATCTTCCATAATCCTTGTTCACCTTTTATGTGCATATAAGGTGATTGAAAATACCGTGGCCTGGGTCAGATGTACCTGAGTCTTCAGAGGACATCTTTGACTTTTAACACTGTAAAGAATGTTTTGGAGGGCTTTTGCTAAGTACAAAGTACTTAAGTAAGGTTTTTAATTTCCTGACTGCTGCTTCCATAGATGCTTGGGTACCCAAGTAAAATTAAATCCCTGGCAGCTCTTATCTTTTGTCTGTTTATCATGTAGTTTATTGGTCCAATTGTAAGGATTTGTATTTTTTTCTTGTTAAAATGTAATCCATATTGAATTTTATAGCCATTAGTCTTCTTGAGTAAGGGCTTCAAGTCCTCTTCCTTTCAGCAGCAAGGTTTTGTGATTTGCATAACAGATTGTTAATGAGTGTTCCTCCTATCCTGATGCCATGCCCAGCTTCTCAGATTATTTGCTCAGGATACAGATTGACTGACTATGGTGAAAAGATACCACCCTGTCCTACAAATTTCCCAATTTTAAACCATGCAGGATCCACGTTGGTCCAAAGTAGATGCTCAGTAAATGTCAATTCTCTTCCTCTTAGTCTCTACAGAGTGTTTTTGGTTATTCTAGCAGAAACAACTAGCTGTACTAATTAAGACTGTATTCTGTAAGTAAAAATTCAATTTAGAGCTAATTAAAAGAATTTTTAAACAGTTCCCCAAACATTGTCAAGTAGAACCTCACTCTTCAGGGGTGAGTGGACGTCTCCTCATTGGTGAATGCAGCCAAGGAAGCCCTGAAGATGTTGACAGCTGGGGTTCCCAACTAAGTCTACCCAGCCAGCCTTATAGTGAGGCTCAGAGTTATTGATAATTCCTAAAAGCTTTATTTTACACAGCTATATTGAGATATACCGTAATTCATACACTAAACCAAACCACTCCTGTAGAGTAGATTTCAATGCATAGCAACTCTGTATAGTTTTTCTAAGACTGTAAATCTTTGTGAGAACAGATCACCTTATCTTTCTCCCTCGGAATGGCTGAAGAATTTGAACTGCTCCTTATAATTCATATAGCATATAGTAATTTATTTATTTAATATGACTTCAATGTAGGATTTTTTAGTATATATTTTTAGTAAAGTTACATATTTTTAATATTGATTTTTAGTATAGTTACAGACTTATTCAGCCATCACCATAAATCATTGTAGAACATTTCTACCATCCTAGTGGTTATGAGTTGGGTTGTGATCTGCATGGTTGCCTGTTCAAAACCACCAGCAGGTCAAAGGGAGAAAGAAAAGGAGTAGAAATACTCCTGTAAACAGTTAACGTCTCGGAAACCCACAGGGGGTCGCTATGAGTCAGCACTGACTCGATGGCAGTGGGATAACTCATTAGCAGCTACTCTCTATTGCCCTGTTTTCCCCATCACCATCCTTAAGCAGCCATTAATGTCATTTCTGCCTCTGTAGGTTTGATGATTCCGGATGGTTTATATTAAAGGAGTCATGCCCCATGTGGCCTTTGTGGCCTTCTTTCATACCATATGTGCCTTTTACATACCATATATACTTGAGTATACACCGAGTTTTTCAGCACATTTTTAATGCAGTTTTTGTGGTAAAATTAGGTGCCTCAGCAGATATTCAGGTTGGCTTATACTTGAGTATATAGGTAATAGTTACAAAGTTCATCCTCGTAGTATAGTTTAGATCTTCAGTCCTCTTTTGGTTTTGGTTTGGATTTGGAGGTTTATAATTAGGGTTAGTTTTAGTGTTAGTTTAGGGTGAGATTTATGTTTAAGATTAGGGTAGGGTTTAGGTTTAGGGGTACACTTAAGATTAGGGTGTTTCAGGTTTAGCATTAGATTTAGATTTAGGGCAAGGGTTTAACTTTAATGTTTGAACTAGGACTGGTGTTAGTGTTAGGTCTTAAGGTTAGGTTTAGGGTAAAAGTTAGCAGTTGATGCTGATGAATAGCCTGGTTTGGCAACGTATTGACAGATAATTGGTGTCAGGGAGAAGAGACAATACCTTGCAAACCTGATCCTGTAAAACAGTGTTTCTCAACTTCTGAACTACTATCATCTTGAACCAGCTAATTCTTTGTTGTGGGGACTGTCTTGTGCATTGTGACAAGCAAAACTATTTCTAGATACTGGGAAGTGTACTCTGGAGGGAGAAAAATCATTGCCTTAAAGCAGCGGTTCTCAACCTGTAGGTTGCGTGCGACCCCTTTGGGGGTCGAATGACCCTTTCACAGGGGTCATCTAAGACCATCGGAAAAAACATATTTCCGATGGTCTTAGGAACCAGACACCGCTCCTTTATCCATCTTCATGTGGGTCCGCCCACATGCAGATATGCCCATCTACAAGAACCTGGTGTGAAGACTGTTACCCATGCTACACCATGCTTCAAGATAAAATTTCATTTATTTGTAATTAGAAATAAATAATTTACATTATATAATGACATATTGCTTTTGTGATTAATCACTATGCTTTAGTTATGTTCAATTTGTAACAATGAAACTATATCCTGCATATCAGATATTTACATTATGATTCATAACAGTAGCAAAACTATAGTTATAAAGTTGCAATGAAAATAAGTTTAAAAAAAAATCATTTTATTGGGGGCTCATACAACTCTTTTCACAATCCTTACATCCATCCATTGTGTCAAGCACATTTGTAAATTTGTTGCCCTCATCATTCACAAAACATTTGCTTTCTATTTGAGCCCTTGGTATCAGCTCCTCATTTCCCCCCTCCCTTCCCGCTACACCCTCCCTCATGAACCCTTGATAATTTATAAATTATTATTATTTTGTCATTTCTTACGCTGTCCAACATCTCCCTGCACCCACTTCTCTGTTGTCCATCCCCCAGGGAGGAGGTTATATGTAGATCCTTGTAATTGGTTCCCCCTCTCCACCCCACCCTTCCTCCACCCTCCCGGTATGTCCCTCTCACTACTGGTCCTGCAGGGTTTATCTGTCCTGGATTTCCTGTGTTTCCAGTTCCTATCTGTACCAGTGTACATCCTCTGGTCTAGCCAGATTGTAAGGTAGAACTGGGATCATGATAGTGGGTGGGGAGGAAGCATTTAAGAACTAGAGCAAAGTTGTTTGCTTCATCGTCAATGATAATAATTTTATGGCTGGGGGTCACCACAACATGAACTGTATTAAAAGGTCGCAGCATTAGGAAGGTTGAGAACCACTGCCTTAAAGGATGGAACACTCCATTAAAATTTTTTTATTTGTTTTGAATAATATTTTATTTTTTTGAATAATATTTTTATTAACATATCTTACTTGTTCCAGTATATCCCTTCCCTTCCCATACAGTTCTGTTGTCCATTCCCATCGGTGGGGCTGTACAGTCATCAGTGCTATCGATTCCCTACTTTTCCCCTTGCTCCCCCACCCTCTCACTTCCTGTGCCCTCAGGGAACCCTTACTCCTGTCAGTGTTTCTGAGGGGTCCTCTACCTTGACTACCAAGTACCGAGCGATCTTAAATGTACAAGTGAACATACACAAATTTAACGTGACCAATGAGCTATATATCACACATATGGACCAGAATATTAAGGAGAGGAAATCTTAAAAAACTAGAGGATAGTTATATGGTTCATCAGTGCCACACTGCACCCTGGATTTTTCCTCCATTCCATGAGGCCCTTCTAAGAGGGACTGTCCAATTGTCTTGCTGTTGGACTTTGAGTCTCCACTACATCCAGTCCCCTTCATATCAATTTGGATGGCTGTTTTTTGAACTTTTGATACCTCTTTCTGTCAACACCTCATGATCACACAGCCTGATGTGCTTCTCCATATGGGCTTTGTTGCTTCCCTGCTAGATGGCTGCTTGTTTAACTCCAAGCCTTTAAGACCCCAGACGCTATA